GGAAAATGTAGAAATATTATGTAGAAACAAACGCATCATGTTTGCAAAAGCAAGAGATACATGGGCTCGCAAAACAAACAGATTCAGCCAGCAAAGCAGGCGATAGGTAATGAATGAACAAACAAACAAATGAATGAATGCATGACTGACTGCATAACTGAATGCATGAATGAATGACTGACTGACTGAATGAATTAATGAATGAATGAATGAATGAATTCATGAATGAATAAATGAATGGATGAACGATTGAAATAATGAAAAGATGAAACAATAAATAAATGAATGAATGAATGAATGAATGAATGAATGAATTAATGAATGAATGAATTAATGAATGAATGAATGAATCAATGAATGAACGAATGAATGCATGCATGCATGCATTGGTGCATGGATGCATGGATGAATGGATGAATGGATGGATTGATGAACGGATGAATGAATGAATGCATGCATGCATGCATGCATGGATGGATGCATGGATGCATGCATGCATTGATGCATGGATGCATGGATGCATGGATGAATGGATGAATGGATGAATTGATGAATGGATAAATGCATGAATGAATGAATGAATGAATGAATGAATTAATGAATGAATGAATGAATGAATGAATGAATGAATGAATGCCTGAATGCCTGAATGAATAATCAATGAATGAATGAATGAATGAATGAATGAATGAATGAATGAATGAATGAATGAATGAATGAATGAATGAATGAATGAATGAATCAATGAATGAATGAATGAATGAATGAATGAATGAATGAATGAATGAATGAATGAATGAATCAATGAATCAATGACTCAATGAATCAATGACTGAATGACTGAATGACTGAATGACTGAATGAATCAATGACGGAATGACTGTGATTGAATGAATCAATGACTGAATGATTGAATTAATGAATTAATGAATGCATGAATGAATGAATGAATGAATGAATGCATGAATGAATGAATGAATGAATGAATCAATGAATCAATGAATCAATGAATCAATTAATCAAGGACTGAATGACTGAATGACTGAATGACTGAATGAATCAATGACTGAATGACTGCATGATTGAATGAATCAATGACTGAATGATTGAATTAATGAATTAATGAATGCATGAATGAATGAATGAATGCATGAATCAATCAATGAATGAATGAATGAATGAATGAATGAATGAATGAATCAACGAATGAATGAATGAATGAATGAATGAATGAATGAATGAATGAATGAATGAATGAATGAATGAATGAATGAATGAATCAATGAATGAATCAATGAATCAATTAATGAATCAATTAATCAATGACTGAATGACTGAATGACTGAATGAATCAATGACTGAATGACTGCATGATTGAATGAATCAATGACTGAATGATTGAATTAATGAATTAGTGAATGCATGAATGAATGAATGAATGCATGAATGAATGAAATGAATGCATGAATGAATGAATGAATGAATGAATGAATGAATCAATGAATGAACGAACGAATGAATGAATGAATGAATGAATGAATGAATGAATCAATCAATGAATCAATGAATGAATCAATGAATCAATTAATCAATGACTGAATGACTGAATGACTGCATGATTGAATGAATCAATGACTGAATGATTGAATTAATGAATTAATGAATGCATGAATGAATGAATGAATGAATGAATGAATGAATGAATGAATGAATGAATGAATGCGTGAATGAATGAATGAATGAATGAATGAATGAATTAATGAATGAATGAATGCGTGAATGAATGAATGAATTAATGAATGAATGAATGAATGAATGAATGAATGAATGAATGAATCAATCAATCAATCAATCAATCAATGAATCAATGAATCAATGAATCAATGAATGAACGAACGAATGAATGAATGAATGAATGCCTGAATCCTTGGCTTACTCCCAGGTCCCTGGCGGCTTGCTGGGACGGCTCGAACAGTTCGATGCGGATCTTGCCCTTCGTGAGGCCCTTCTCCGCCAGCCACCTGCCGCTCGATCTGAGTTGCGGGAACCAAAAGTTGAAATCTGCTCCCCTACTAAAAGTTTAACTTTTAGTGGTTTGATGGAAAACCCATTAGTTGGCAAAAAGATAAAGTCCTAACATCCAAGCGAAATGCACCAAAGATAGGATCCTATCCATTGGCGGCGGCTTAACCGCATGCAACTGCCACAGAGCTGCGGCAGATTCCTTGGCTGCTTTCACCGTGGGTTTTCTAAAAAGAAGACAGACCCCCCAGATTTCTTGCTGGTGCGAAAGGCAGGGAATGAGAAATGGAATGACCCCTATAAACCATCCAACTTGTGGTTTTCTTTGAGGGAATTTTTCGGGTTCATTCCCACATTCCCTACTGAGCAACAGCAAGACTGGCAAGCACCCTGAAACCGAGTTCGGTGACCCTGCCAGCAATTCGCCATGTTAATTGGTGCGAGGGTATCTACTTTTGGTGCTACTTTGGGTTCCATC